GTCGGCCATGCGGGACCTTGTCGTAAGCCGGGAAGGAATCTTTGATCTTTTGCTTCGGCTAAATGTTAAAAAAGCGTGTGGGCCGGACAATGTGCCTAACGAATTCCTTCGACGCTATGCTGAATGGCTGTCGCATTATTTGTTCGTCATTTTTAATAACTCACTAAAACAAAAAGAGATTCCTTTTGACTGGCGTCGCGCTCGTGTTGTGCCAATTTTAAAAAGTGGTGATCCTCAGTGCGTTTTTAATTATCGCCCTATATCCCTTACTTCTGTTTGTTGTAAAACACTGGAGCACATAGTGTGCAGGCACATTACTGATTACCTGGAAAAAAATAACCTCCTTACCAGTGCTCAGCATGGCTTCCGTCGAGGGCTATCAACAGTGAAACAGTTAGTAACAACTCTGCATAATTTTGCCCTTGCTCTAAATAAAAGAAAACAAGTCGATGCCATCTTTTTAGACTTCGCGAAGGCTTTCGATAAAGTACCACATCATAAACTAGTGCAGAAGCTATACGCAATCGGAATTAAAAACGACCTAGTCCAATTCGTTCAGTCGTACCTTTCAAACCGCTCCCAGTTTATCGAAATAGACAAGCAATCTTCAAGTCAGTTATCTGTTTCATCAGGTGTTCCGCAGGGGTCGGTTCTGGGACCGTTATTGTTTCTTATCTACATAAACGACATAGTTGACAGCATAGATGACAGAGTTCGGGTTCGGTTGTTTGCAGACGACTGCATATTGTACAAAGAAGTAGAAACCCATAATGACCAGCTAGCTCTCGAAAATAATCTTCAGATTGTCTATGCGTGGTGTGAACAGTGGCAAATGCCGTTGAACTTGGATAAATGTACATTACTAAGGGTTACAAATAAAAAAACTGTACTGGACTTTCCCTATACAATTAATGGCACTCAAGTTAAAGAAGCCTCTGAAGTTAAGTACCTTGGGGTAACAATTACGAGTAGTTTGAACTGGAATGCACATGTTGCCAATGTTTGTGCTGCTGCGAGACGAGCGTTGTGGTCCCTAAGGCGCAGACTTCCGCTGGCACCCTCCAGTGTCAAGCTCTGTGCCTATAAGACTTTGGTCAGGCCAGTTTTAGAATACGCGTGCGTAGTCTGGGACCCGTGTACACAAAAAGCCATAGACGAATTAGAGAAAGTTCAAAGGCTAGCTGCGCGATTCATATGCAATAGGTACCGCCGCTTAGACAGCCCATCAGAAATGGTAAAATCACTTGAATTGGAGTCTTTGAGATCGCGCCGGAAAAATTTCAGATTGAAGTTTTTGTACCTAATGAAGAATAATTACTTTAATTTTGATTCATCACCTTACATAAAGCACGTCACACGCCGAAATACACGCTTTAATCATGGAAGTCTTTTAGAGCAATACCAAAGCGCAAACAACATTTTTAAAAATTCGTTTTTCCCAAGGACCATAATAGAATGGAATTGCTTAGAAAAAGACACTGTTGATAGCCCTACCCCTGATGGATTTTTTTCGAAATTGCGATGATATATGCTATTTAGTATCAGTGTTGTGTTGAAGAACGTGTGTGTTTGCGACTCTGCCATCCCTTCCCCTTTCTTTTCCCCCCACTCCTGCCTGGGCCCCAACGGGGCCTGCAGTATTGTGAAATAAATAAAATAAATAAGATTGCCTGAGACCTGGAGAGTTTACCGTGCGGGGGCGGAAAAGTCCGCCTGCCCATTCGATAGTGCGTGGTGACTTCGTTAAAGGTGAATAAGATGTCTTTAAATTCCACGTAGCCACCCTGCAGATCGGCGTCCTTCCCGGCGCGGAGGGTTAGAGCGCGCGCCCGAGAGTTAGCAGTATCGTTGAGGTTGGTAAGGGAATCTAGCTGAGAATCGAGATGTGCCGTAAACCAAGTAATGGTGTGCGGGGAGATAATCTTATTGCCAAGAATTTTAGAGGCTTCGTCAGAAATGGAGTTAGAAGCAAAGCCCGAACCGCCGATCTAGAGTCTGTGTAGATGTGCGATCTACTATTGTCCAGGAGGGCGAGAGCTATGGCCGCCTGTTCGGCCCTCGAAGGAGTAGAATCTTTGAAGGATGCGGAATTGAGGATCAAACCCTGGTGATCGATGGCAACGGCAGCGAACCTGGCCGAGCGGCCATACTGTGCGGCATCCACGAATCAAGCCGAGCGAGGTTCGTCCCTAACCTGTCTGAGAAGCGCGACGGCCCTGGCTCTGCGTCGGCCGACATTGTGCTGTGGATGAAGGTTACGAGGAAAAGGAGAGGTCTGAATGCTGGCCCTTTGGGCGTCAGAAAGCTGATGTCGCCGCTCCGCAACGAGCGTGGGGTTGAGGCCGAGTATGGCCAAAATCTTCCTTCCGGCCGGCGAAAACGACAGCCGAGCTATCTGGGCAGTTTCCTGTGCCTCGATGATTTCTTCCAGGGTGTTGTGAGCCCCTAGCTGCATGAGTCGCTCGGTGCTGGCCTGCATGGGAATGCCCAGCACCCTCTTTATGCTCTTTCGAATTAGCGTGTCCAACTTCTTTTTCTCGTGACCGTGCCAGCAGTGCATGGCCGCCACGTACGTGATGTGGCTCATGAGGAAGGCGTGAAAAAGCCTCAGGAGGTTGTCTTCTCTGAGACCTCCCCGTCTGTTGGAGACTCTGTTGATTAACCTGATCATGTTCTCCGTCTTCGTGGTGATTTTGTTAATCGTTCGACTGTTACTGCCATTCGACTCTACCAGCATGCCAAGCACTCTAAGGACGTCCACCCTGGGAATGGGATTACCGGTACTCGTGTGGATCGTTATGTCTACTTCGGACAGTGGCATCCAGCCTTTTGGTTTGGGACCCCCCCTTACAGGCCTGTATAGGAGGAGCTCCGACTTGCTCGAGGAGCACTTAAGGCCCGTGTTGGTGAGACAGTGTTCTGTTTGGTCAAGGGCTTCCTGAAGGGCAGTTTCGACCTCGCCCTCGCTACCGCCGACACACCAGATGGTGATGTCGTCGGCGTAGAGAGTGTGATTGATGCCTTCAACTGTGGAGAGTTGTTTAGATAGCTTGCACATGGCAATATTGAATAAGAGCGGGGAAATTACCGCACCCTGTGGCGTACCTTTTGGGCCCAGCTCCACGGGGTCGGACCTAAGATCGCCAATCTTGAGCGTGGCTTTCCTGGATCGTAGAAACGAACTAACAAACTTGTGAAACGTGTCGCCCAGTCCGAGCTCCGAAATGGAGTCCAGGATGTGCGCGTGGGTGATGTTGTCGAAGGCTTTTTCTAAATCGAGGCCTAGGATAGCCCTGACATCCCTCGTCTTCCTGTTAAAGATTTGGTGTTTGAGTAGCTTCATTGCGTCTTGCGTAGACAGGGACGGGCGGAAACCAATCATGTTGTACGTGAAGAGATTCTTCCCCTCGATGTGCCTTGATATGCGGTTGTGTATAACGTGCTCTGCCACCTTGCCCACACAGGACGTAAGGGAAATGGGTCTGAGGTTAGCCAGCCCCGGAGGCCGACCGGGCTTGGGGATCAGGACGACCGTCGCCGTCTTCCAGGACTCCGGGACGGATCCCTGCTCCCAAATACGGTTTATTTCATCAGTGAGAAATTCAATGGAGCCGTCTTCCAAGTTTCGGAGCGCCCTGTTGGAGATGCCATCGGGGCCCGGGGCCGATCTACCGTTGAGGTTCTGGAGAACTTCCCTGACCTCGTTGACGGTGAAAGGCTCGTTGAGCTCCAGGCAGGGGGGGGCCCTTATAGGACGGGTAATCCGCCGGGCTCGAGGTGCCGATAGGTAGGTATTTGTTTGTCAGCACGTCCAAGAGGGCGTCTTCCGTCTCGGACTGCCTGGCCTCGTGGAGGACTCTGCTAATGACCCGATTCTGATTGGAGTTGGAGTTGGACTCGTTCAGCAGGTGCTTGAGTAGATTCCACTTACCGCCGACTCGCATTTCACCATCGACCGAGTTGCACACCTCGTCCCATTGCTGTCTGGTGAGGGATTGGCAGTGGTCTTCGATGGTTCGGTTGAGCTCTGCAATCTTCTTGCGGAGCCTGCGGTTGAGTCGTTGCCCCTTCCACCTGTCGAGAAGCGCCTTTTTTGCCTCCAGAAGGTTTGCGAGGCGGTTGTCCATTCTATCGATCTCTAGGTCCGTCTGGACCGTCTTTGTCGCCGATATGACGTCCCCTTTGAGCTGTGTCGCCCAGCGCTCCAGGTCGATAGACGAATCCTGGATCAGTGCCCGCTCCTCTCTGCTCTTGCGAAACTGATCCCAGTCCGTGATGGTAAACTCTTTAAGCGGTTTGCTCTTCACGTTTATGCAAGTGGCAAGTATGTTGTGATCACTGCCTAAAGCTTTGTTTAGATTGTGCCAAGGCACAGCCCCGACGTTCTTGACAAAGCTCAAATCCGGCGTGGTGTCCCTCGAACATGAGTTGCCGATCCTGGTAGGGAACGCGGGGTCCGTGACGAGTGTGAGGTCGTGATTTGCCGCTGCCTGCCACAGGTCGTCTCCCTTGCGCGTTGCTCGCGAGTAACCCCACGCTCGGTGCGGGGCGTTGAAGTCGCCGGCAACGATGAGAGGGGAACCACCGGCTTTACCAGCTGCCCTGCTAAAAAGCGGTGCGAACCTCTGTTTTAGATCCTTAGGTGAGCTGTAGATGTGGAGTATAAAGATGCTACATTTAAGCCGACCACTCGGAATTATTTCAACAAAGGAGTGCTCAACCTTGCTGGAGTCTAAAAAAAGATCATGCGTAATGAAAGTGCATTTTTTGGAGACGACCGTACAGATGCCCCTCTTTCCTTCACTGTGAACGACGTGCGATTTGTAACCCGGTAACGTGACCGCGTCGGAAAGTGTTTCCTGAAGTAGAATGACGTGTGGCTTCTCCGGATGAGATCTAATGAACTGTTGGAGGACAGCCCTCTTGCGCTGAAAACCCCAGCAATTCCACTGCCAGATTCCAACTGCTTTAAGATGAGCCTCCATGACTGGATATGCCAGTTAGCCTATCCTGTACAATGTTACAAGGTGTAGCCGCTTGGAGGTGTTGGGCACCAAAAGATGCTGGGTTTCCGGTCGAAGAAGGCTCATTGTTCGCAAGAGCACAAAACTCCATCGTCCCTCTCCTCGCCTCCAAAGTCCCCTGGCCTCCAGCGCGTTGAACTTGCCGTCAAGGACATCAACTTTAGCGTTAAAGGGGCACTGACACCCCAAAGGTCGTATTTATTTTTATTGTCTAAAACGATGCAGGTTGCAGTCATAGACACGCAAAAAAAACCGCATCGCGAAAAAAAAAATTTCCCGCGCGCCCGCGCGCCTTTTTATTTTTGGCGTTTGATTTTCCCGCCTCTCGCCTCCTCGCTTCTTTTGATCGGTGACGTCAAAAATCAGGAAATTTAGAAGCTTTGCAGGCGACATCTCTATAACATTTAATTACGGCAATCCTAAAACATGTTTTTTAACGCAATTGCGAACGCACTACGGCCCTTCTTTTTGAAATACCAAAAATCGGGAGTTCGTTGTGGTGCCGTCTCCTGGATTTGTATCCTCCAACGGAAAACAGGCGACACCGCTCAAAACCGGTCCGCCGCAACGCCGCCGCTATCTCCTTTCCTCCTCGCTTTGGGTCGCCATGGCAACAGCAGGGAGTGGTGAAAGGAAGTCGACTCTCAGGTCTCCGCAATTTTTGACGTCAAGGCACCGGCGCCGATCGCGCGGGAACTTCGAATTCGGCATTTGGAAATTGTTTTTTTACTTCACAAATACTGAATTCCCAAATTTCAAATTTTGAGGGTAATGTCCCGGCATCGTTTTCAATCGTTTGGGATAATCAAAAAAATTTGATTTTGATGTGTCAGTGCCCCTTTAAGCATCGCAACCGCTTCGCTGAGTGATTTGAGCATAACCCTCATTTCAGTCTGAAATTCCTCTAGTCCCTCATCGCAAACGGGCTTCGTTAGGGCCCTTTTTTTGGCCGTACGTGCCTCGGAGGGCGCCTCGACGGGAACCTCCATGGGTGTTTCCTCCCTGGCGGGTTTCGGAGCCTGCGGAGACGGCGAAGCCTTGCACTTGCGAGCCGACCTTAATTCTGCCATCTCTGACCTGAGTTGTTCAATAGCGCCCTTCAGCGCCGCGTTTTCTTTTTCCAACTGTACGAGTCTGGTGTTGTGTTGCCCAGGCGGCGTAGCCCCCGTTACTTTTGTCGGGGATCCTTTGACGCGATCGGCCCATCCGGTCTCCTGGGCAACAGGCTTCCGGATGCGAACCGCCGAGCCCCTGGAGTGTGAGTGGCCCCCGGAGCGAGAGCGGCCCCCGGAGGTAGCCCGCGGCAGTCGGACCCTGGATCGCCCTCTCGAGGGCACCCTGGTTATGCCCGGCACCCGGGATCCACTCCAGGCCCGGGGTGGAATGGCCGGTCCAGACAGCGTGCCCATCGGCGGAAAATCCTGGTTGTAGTCACGTCGTTCTTTTCTTCTCTGTCTTACGATGTAAGGCACTTGATATCTTTGCTTACAGGACTTGTCGGCCGTGGGGTGAGGCCCCCCGCAGAGGGCGCACTTCGGTGAACAAACATGTTGGTCGCTTGGGGAATTTACTCCGCAGCCCCTGCAGACCACGTTTTCGGGAGTCGGGCATACGTCGGCTCGGTGACCGAGCCTGCCACATGCGTAGCAGACCTCCGTTTGTCTTCGGTAGAGCGTGCATCTGAGCATACTGAGGCCGCACATGACGTGGTTTGGCACTTTGAGACCGTCAAAGAGAATGACGACTGTGGTGGAATTCTTGATTCTTCTAGCTTCGAGAGCCTTGGGGTTCCTCGGCTGTATGATGAGACTTCTAAGTTGCTCGTGATCTAATTCCAGGTCGATGTTTCTTATGATCCCCTTGCACGTGTTGTCGGGCGCAGCGAGGCAGGAACTGACCTCGTAGATTGCTGAGCCAATGGAGATGGCTTCAATCCCCGCACAGGTCTTGGCATTGTGTTCTGAAGGTGTGCTGACCACCAAAATGTTCTGCATGGTGTTGGGGCAGATGATGTCTTCCGCAGTATTCGCGAAAGGGAGACCCGCCGCATTCACGCGAGCCTGGGCGACCTTGACTTGACTAGCATTTTTAACGTTTAGGCCACCCCGAGGTCGGACGATGACTCTAAAGTGCTCCTTCGGCAGGCGAGGCATTCTCGAGGCAGCTACAAGGCGTTTCTTCACGCTGGCGGGAGTGCGGGAGCCGCCATTGCTACTGCCACTTGGTGTGTTGGCGGGCTGCTCGCTCTCGGCGGGCAGGCACTTCTGGGAAGATTTGCGCTTGGTAAACGCCGACTGCCAACCGGCGAACTGAAATTCTTCTGGAGAAATGTCTTCCCCCTCCACTGCAACTTGCATGGCCATCTTAATCAAAGCAAACGAGGTCGCACGGGAGCGAGCCCGCCGAGCCTCCACCGGGACGGTAGGCCTATGGTGTGAGGCTTAATGCGTCCGCGGTGTGGTCGAGCAAAAAGTATCTTGAAAAACTGGCAAAAAATCCACCCACCGTGAAAATTTCGTATCGGCGTGGTCTGGACGACTTTAGGCGTCGAAGGACACAAAAATCACGAAGAAAATATCAGAATTTTCGACTGAAAACAGTTCTAGGTTGATCGAAGAAGCAGGGCGCCGTTGCTACTGGCTTCATCCTCTTCTTTTTCCCATATGACTTAACAGCTGAAATATATTTCGATGGAACTACATAAACCGAAGCCTAGCACTGCAAATACCGTGCTATCTAGTACACCGTAGATAGCACCATATTTGCAGAGCTAGTCTTCGATTTTGTAGATAAGTAGAATCGGATTACAGTGCCCCCCTTACAAAGACTGAAGCAAAACAAGTATAAAGTTTGACGTGCCACTACAACAGAAACAACGGTATTGCGATCTCGTGGAGATCAGAGTCCGGAAGAAGTGTGACAGGCTTCGGCACAACAAATATGCCAATGTCATTATTCATTTTTGCATGTTCTACGGTGACAGTGCTGGAAAACAATCACACACCAAATACTCAGAAAGGCAAGCCAGTCTGGACTACATACTCTTTACTACACTACATATGTAGACCAGACTGGCAGGTGAATGATTGTTTAAAGGAGGATTTTTGTAACACCCACCGAGTCGCTGCTGGACATTTGAGAACCCACTGTCCGGATTGTGGTTTTGTAGCACATTTTGTAAATTGTTCCGTAATAGTCAAGACTCGAGGCCCATTGACAAGAGAAATAATGGAAGCGCAAATAATAGAGCACATGAAGAACAAGTGTGTAAGTAGTCCGTTTATATTGCTGTCGACCAAAAAGCTGCGATTGCTAGCTCAAGAATAGCAGTGAGGGAGGGGGATGACTTGTAAGGGCTTCCTATTTTCGTTTATTTATTTTTTTTTTCATTTCTTTCTTAATCTTTTTTCTTCTTTTGTGTTATCCTTCGCTTTTTTCCTTGTATTTTGTGCTATTTCTTCTGCTTATCACGTTCCGGAAAGTCAATCCAGACGTTGAAGAGAAGTACGAAGCATTCGAATACACGAGAGCTGTAAGTTCAGCGCGTGTGTTTGTCTTGCTGAGAATCTGGCGTGCGATTGTTTCTCTGCGCTGTCACCGTAGAATATGGTTCACCAACTCGCCCAAGCATCCGCTCTATTATTTCTGCAACATTAAAATGACTCTGAAAGTGTGGGCACCTACAGGGTGAATTCATGCAAGTCTTGCAAGTGTTGAATTGTAGGTACAGCGCCCTGCTTGTGTCCATCTCCGATATATGACCGAATACCATAGAGATCAATACTGCAAACTTTTCCGAAAACGAATAGGCGCGGTGGCGAGCGGCAGGAGTGGCGGTGTTCACCCCTCTCGGCGTTTGTTCGTGTTTGTGTGTTGCTAGTAACAAGCGCACCAATGAAAAGGCTTCAGCCATTATTGGGAACACTAAATAAACAAATACAAAATACGAATGCAACACACACATCAATACTGGATGCAAGTGGTGGCGCACTTCTGTGGATATTTACACAGCGTGTAGTTAGTCAGCCATTTTAAAGTTGCGATGAGTTGCTCGCCGTAGATGAGCAATTTAGCCAGTGCAGTACGACTGCTAGCCTGGGGTCTTCAACCTGCACCACGCAGTAGCGATACACGACCACACGCCGGTACGATGCTCATCCATATCGAAATGGGCAGGGGTGGGGATTGAACCTAGGATCCCTGGGTTCTGCAGTGCAAGCTTTCGCTCCACGTGCTCCCAGCAGGTGTGCGCTAGCCCAGTCGGCCACCGATCCCCCAGCGCAAGCAACGCAACGCGCTTCGGTTGCAAACTCAGCATTCCACTTACGAATGAAATGCGCAATTCCCCTACAGGCTTTCATTCCATGTGATTGGCATCATAATTGCTAAATGCCAGCCCATAAATACAGTCTCTGTTAAAAACAATCCTAGCAGCAATAATCTGCTATTACATAGCTCAATATATAGAGCACCTTACCGTGAACAGCCTTGGTAGTCTTCCATTAAGCCAGGACTTAGCTGAAGAGACTGTCATTCTGTGTCGTCTCAGGACACTCACATCAGGATGGCGAAAGTGAATGTCAACGTCTAATTGGGAAAGGCTGCAGTAAGTATAAAGATGAAAGCACAGATTAGAATATACGATAAAACATATCATGGACCAACTTGAAGAAAGTGCACAAAAAGACAAGGACAAAAGGACAGGAACACGTAGGACGCAGACGGGTGCACATTCGCAACTCGATTTATTGAACCCAAAAAAAAAAGAAATAAGAAGATGAGAGAAATCAGAAAGGTTTTGCTCGGAGAATTTTAGCTTCAGGAACCAGCGCGTGAGGCAAAGATGTCAGGTAGATTGTTTTACACACACTCTAGAATTAACAACAGCCTTCCCATGTGATGAGGTGCTAAGTTCATTCTCATTGAACATCTTTAAATATAGCACACAAAAAAATAAGGAATTAAGGAAAGGAATATATACACTGCATACGAGTTCAGACTCCCAACACACATAAATTAGAAAAGAAAAAAAAAAGAATATGGAAGGAGCTTTAGCAAAAGCTCGAACAGGTCCAAGTGGAACATGCCAATTCACCCATAAGCATAAGACTGTAAAAACGATTTCCTCGGCAGCTCAGGTAACAGACGGATGTGCGGACACATTGGTCACCCATACTACGAATAATAAAGGCCTAAAATAATTATCTTGTATGTTTTTGTTTTATAGGATTTGCTAATTGTTCACGTTTTTTCCTAAGGATGACATACACGAGCAGTGTAAAGAGTGCATAGCTAGGTTACAATCCGTCGTAGATTTTGGAGAGAGAATGAGCTATCTTGGATGCATTAGCCATCAATCTGTTACCCTAACTAAAAAAAAAATATGTTTTTTTTTTAATCTGTTCTTGCTAACGGGTAAATCAGCGCGTTCCACTTGAGCCTGTACTCGAGCTCCTTCCGCATTTTTTATTTCTTCCTTCTCTGATTTATGCAAGTTCAATCTGCGCTTGCATGAGGTCTACGTGTTACTCTCCTTCTCTCCTTGACTTTTTGCGAACTATTTTTCAAGGTGTTCAATTAGTACCAGCTCGCCACTTTACTACAAACATGCAACAACTAAAAACAATCGCAACTTACACCATTCGCTAAAGGCAGTACCAAACGAAACAAACAGGGATTGTGTGAGGTATGTCTAACACTATATACTTACACTGAACAAAACATAGATACCAAAAACTGGCGAGAAACTACTTTAATTCAGGACATGCTTGTAAATTTCCCCAGAAGCTTGTGTTTAATACTTGATAGCCTCTAAAAAAACACCAGTATGAAGACAATAAATGCTTCACCATTTGAAGCAGCATCAGTGTTTCTGGAGGTGTGAAATTCATTGCACGTGCGTTGGATCATATGAAACACGTGTACAGCAATCGATCTTTAGAGCTCGACATTTCGTGAGGAATAAGTGTCGGCGTCAAAAATCATTTCGCGGGCACACATTTTTGCGATCGGAAGTGGTGTGCTATGCAGTAATCACCGTGGGATGAATTCATGGCGGCACATATTTTCGGCAATTATTTTCTTATTACGGATCGTGAAAATGAAGTCGGGGTGGCGGAAGCTACGGGCTTGCTCGATTAATCAATCGCTGCTTTTTGTTGGGTCAGGCTCTCAGCAGGCAAGTACGGAGAGTGGCGTCGGCGATGCAGGGGCACCGCACTCTTCCAGACATTCTAGTTTACGAGTAAACAATACGGCGGAGGGAGGCAATCAAACCGGAAGGGCGCCACGAGAGCGCACGACCAGACTTGTACGTAATCCGTTCCAATTAATGAAATTACGTGTAATCCCTTACATTTATCGGTAATTTAGTAACGGAATAATTACATCTTTTCTAGGGTAATATTAAAGTAATTCCGTTACATTTTTTACGTAACGGATTCCTTGTAATCCGTTACTTTTTTTTCAGGCGCCGGCCCCCCTCCCTTTTAAAGAAAAGGTCGTTTTTATTTTGGCAAAGTTGAGCGCAGTGACACTGTCACGCGCATTGACCAGAGCAAAGGGAGGCTTGGCACTCTTCAGTTCTGCAAAGCCTTTTTTTGCAACACCAAGCCCCTGAATCCATTTTCCTTTCAGACCCTAACAACAATGTCAGAAAATCCAAATAAGCATTTCTACAAAAAGAAAAAAAAAGGGGGGGGGGGGAATTATATCCGCTTTTTTTAGTGTCTGTTTTTTTGTTTGTTTTTTCTTTGCGATCGAAGGCGTGAAGAGGTGGACACCAAGTGATTGTATGCCTCTTCGAGAAACTCTAGGCGTTAAGTGCACAGACAGGAATTAATTATGCCCTTCTCGGTTGTAGTAACTACGACCATTTTCATAATGTCACAACACGAGACAACGCTCCGTCTGCCCTAAAATCCACTAAAAGGGATGTGATAATATGTGAAGGTGTTATTGCCACAAGCATACTCGTTCATTGCTCCACACTTATCATCTTCTCTTAAGAAACAGGATGCATTTTTTTCTGCTTTTTTCACATTATTTGAACCTGTTTTGAAAGCTGCTTACTTTTTTGTGGTCCAATTTCTAGGGTTGGCCCATTTTATTTGTGAATTTCAGCCAGGTTATCCGCATCTCAGCCACCCTTTTTATGAGTCAGCTTTTTGCGATAACTCCAAAAATAATACTTGTCTTCCTTTTTTTTTCGCTGTTTGTATTCCAGCACGACGGGTCTTTACAAATAAATGATAAGAGATCTTTACGAATGAAACATAATGGTGGCTGACGTAGACTTGAGATTCTAGGCTTGAGGAGAGAGTGAAACTCATGAGTGGGGAGCCATAATGTGGCTCAGTTCTCT